CACACCCACCCACACCCACACCCCACACCCATCATGAACTTTTTGTGGACTCTGTAGTTAATTGCTATACTGTAAGGTGTTTTCTTCTCGATAAAAGCGTTAAATATATTAGTTCTTGACAATCGTTGCGCCGAAATGTTGACCAAAAGTAAAGTGTAGCGAAAATAGAATATTTACAAACAACTAACACAGCTCTATCAAATGTGCTAATCACGAGAGAACGTATCTAACTGTTGGATGCAGTTCGATCTCATCTTTGACTGTAATTAGGGTTCAACGCAGGTAGAAAAATCCTAAAAGAGTTAATGTTCATGGTGTGCCTCAAAGGAGGTGTCATTTCCATACATAAGTAAGAAAATAGGATCTTTTACTGTCTCCTAATTTTTTTTCTTTACTTCAAGAACCTAAAGACTAAAGTTTTGGGTGGCTGTAGATCTTTTCTTACTCCACAGCTACATCTGACTGAAAAGACAGTAAAGGTTTAGCTAGGTTGACAATGAAAACCAAAAAAAAAGAGTTTTTAAATACATCATTGTTTGATACGATTTGACAAATAACTGTTGTTGTTTCTCTCTTTAGCAATGTGATGGTGTTCATTTCTATTCTATCTTTCATTAACATTCCGCCGTGAATATCATCGGTCTACAAGCAAAGTTTACAGTATTTTTCTTTTTTGTATAAAAGTGAAAACTCGCAAGACTTTACAAGAAGACCTGAAAATTTTTTATCCAACAGTAGAACAATTGAAATGAAACAGTTGGAAACAGAGTATAATGAAATACTTTATTTTTTCTTCACTATTAGCTGAATAAGAATGATCTTTGAATGTTAAATCAAGAAATAATTAAGATAATTACTTCATATCGACCATACGAATTATAATGTCAGGAGGTTGGACTGTGACTGTAAAATGTGAGTGTTGGGTGATGCTTTAACGCACTCATACTTATACTTTCAATAATGATTATAGTCGTCAACTATTTGACTGGCAAGATATGTGTAGAAAAGAAATATATACATGGTTAGGATCCGATTAAAAAATGTGTTTTCAGTACTTGTCCAATTTAATCACAGTAGATATACATAAACAAAACAGGAAAGAGAATGGATGGGAAAAAAGTAGCTACCGTATTGAAAGAAACATACAGCGACTAAATAAAACTCATAACTGTTGAGCGAGGACAATAGTGTAAGTTTTTACTAACTATCACTTAATTTGCTGTATTTGACCAGATGCCAGTCTTGATAATCTTTTTCACCGCATTGCTCATTG